CAACTTGTTCTGCCAAAACAGTCGAGCTCGACTCGTTCACACCGTGGTTCGCCGGAACGGCATCGGAACGGTCGGAACGGCCGTTCCGGAACGGGAACGGTGCCCTCCGTTCCGGAATCCGTAACCAGAACGGTGTTTGCACCGTGACTCGTCGGAACACCGATAAATCGGTGGGATGGGCGAGACGGAGCCACGGAACGGCCCCAACGCGGCCGGAACGGCACCGGAACGGGAAAAAAGATTTTGAAAAAAAAAACTAATTTGACTAAAAAAAATAAGGAAAAAAAAACATAAAAAAATAAATAAATAAGTAATATGATGATGGTGGCCACGTTAGATAATGAAGTCTAGGAAGATTCCCCTGAATCTCACAGATCCAGTTCGGTATTCTACTTGGTATTAATATTGCTTGTATTTTCACAATATTCGTTGTAATATTTATTTTTTAAATTGTAATAATATTTTGCATATTATTGAATTGTAATATTATTATTAAAAAACATATTTGAAATATATTGTATTTTTATAACAATTTAATTAAAATGTGTCCGTTCCGGCCGCTACGCAGCCGCGACGTTGCAACGGAACTGGAACGGCAGTGTTCGCGACAATGCACTGTTCCGTTCCGGCGAACCATGGTTCACACCCCTACTCAGAACTCTAGAGATTTACTGCATCAATTACCATAGCTCAATTAACATATAAATGTAAAATAGAATCTAAAACTACTCTTTTTAAATAATGTTGGACTAATTAGCTGGTACCAAAATTCTATTAATTTATCGAAATATTAATCAAACGATATCTTTTTTAGTTACGTCTTCTTCAAGTTGGGACCGCAAAAACATATTATTTAAACGAGGTTAATGGTTATTAATTTATTGAAGTTATTAATATGTTGGGGGTTTTCTTTTTCTTTTTTTTTTTTTTGTTAAGGGCTTTTTCATTGATCTGAATTTTGCAGAATATACACATTCCTGGTAATACTGGTTTTCTAAACAGCATGGGTTTCCCCTTTCGAGTTCGGTTTCCTCAGACGACCAGAGGAATCCTCTCCATAACCGACAACGTCGTAAACGGAATATTCTTTGTCGACATTGTGCTCACTTTCTTCGTAGCCTACCTCGATAAATCGAGTTTTCTTCTAATCGACAATCCGAAGCCAATCGGTTTAAGATACGCGAAGACGTGGCTCTTCTTCGATGTTGTCTCCATGATACCTTCCGAACTCGTGCATAAAATTTTACCCTCTGATCTCGAATCATACAAAACTAGGCAATTCGTAAGTTTTATAAATTTTTTAAATGTGATTGGAAATTTATTATTATTTTTTATTTCATTTTACCGACTAAGGTGGCCGGTGTGATAGAGAGAAGCAATTAACGCTGCCTGGAGTTTTGCGAAACGGAACCTTCTGCCACCTCATCTAAGGGCTGCAACGTACAGCAAGAAACTCTCGACGTACTTCCAAAGGCGATTCACTCGAGTATATCGCATTTTATGTTTTACTCGATCACTTGTTGATAAGGTCTATTTATTTCATGGGGTGTCGAATGAATGATCTACTGTTTCAGCTGGTAATAATTAACCTTTTCTTGTTATTCATTCGATTTCAACATAACTACCAAAAAATAGTTTTTTTTTTCCCTTCATTTTATTGATTTTCTTATGGTCTAACATATCGTAGGTATCGGAGATGAAACCGGAGTATTTCCCACTGAGAGAAGACATAATTTTACAAAACGAAGCGCCTACAGATTTCTACATTCTACGGTCCATTGTCGTATATCAATGGACCGTGATTAATGTACTGAAATGACGAATATGCCCTTGTCCCGTTTATCATTTTTTTCCACAACTTAAAAGAAATTATGCTCAAATTGTGTTGTCGAATGAAACAAATTGCAGGATATGGGAAAAACACCGGCGGGTTATATTTTCGCTGCCATAATACAAGCTATGATGATAGCAGGTTTATACTTCTTCGATCATAGTGTAGCTTCACAACTGGCGCAACAAAAGGAACTCAATCTGAAAAATCCGTCCGTCAGCTTACCATTACGATATTTTCTTGCTTGGAGTTATGATATGGAATTTAAAATTTTCGTCGTGATTTTTCTTTTTTTTAGTTGAGCCCGTAAATATTTACCGAACATGATTGTGATGGCACCGTCAGATGTGGCTGAACTTTCTCGTATGGTCAACACTGCAGTCAACATTGATGATCGGCCAGTTTGCTTTCGGTTTCCTAGAGGTGCCGTTGATTTGACAAACCATAAACCATATGTCGGAGAACCCATTGAGGTAAACATACAATCCAATTTTTTATTTTTATTTTTTTCTGTTTTTTTATGTCGTTACTAAATAAGCGATCGAACAGATTGGCAAAGAGAGGGTACTTGTAGAAGGTAAAGATATTGCTTTGTTGGGATTTGGTTCGATGGTACAAAATTGTCTTAGAGCACATAATATTCTTTGGAAGCTTGGTATTGAAGTTATTGTGGCTGATGCGCGATTGATATTAAAGTAATAAGAATGTTATGCAAGAACCATAGATTCCTTATCACAGTCGAGGTCTCGAGGAAGGTTCCTTTGAGGATTTGGTGCTCATGTTGCTCGATTTATTTCTCTTGATGGGCTGCTCGATGCTGGAATTAAGGTAAGAAATAATTCACTTAGTTTGTATAAATCTGGAATTAAACAATTTCTTATGTGTATTTCTCGATTTGATTCTTCATGGCAGCCTATAACTTTGCCGGATAATTATACTGAGGGTGCACTGCCACAAGAGCAACTCGCTCTTGCTGGTTTAACGGGGAATCACATAGCTGCAACTACATTGAATCTGCTTGGTCGAACTCGTGAAGCTCTTCTATTAATGTGCTGGTAAGTTGATCCGATTATTGATTCGATTATTATATACAATGTTTTGTACAGGTTACGGTACCATTTTCATGGGCATATATGTGTGTGTTTGGTGTTGGTTATTTGCATAGTTTGAAATTGAAGATATTTCTTACGGTGAAGGATGTGAGTTACTTGTCAAAGATTAAATACTACTCGTTCGAATTTCTGTTTGTTGTCTTTCTGAACATAAGCTTTGTATTTGTACATTTATGTAAGAAGATAACGATTGTTTCGTAATTATCGATGAATGTGTTCATTCTCTTTCCATATTTCTTTTTTTCACTTAAATTGGCAAAATCACAAGATTCTAGAGTATTATGCTTTTATGACTGGCAATTTGCACCCTATAATTGTGTGAGGGGTGAAAAGCGAGGTGAGTTGAGGATTTTGCCCATCTTCAAGCACATGCATGGCCAATTTCTTGATTCAATTTTGAAAATTCGGTTCAAGGTACATTTTGAATGATCGTGCAATAAGAAATAAAGTTACCTTCATAAAATTTTAAAAAATTCAATTCATGGTACATTATGAACGATTTATTGTATTTTGAGGGGTAAAATATCAAAGTCATAGACCATTTTGTAGATGCACATTTTCTAGAAATAGTTAAGAACTATGACAAAGTTGCAATTTTTTTCTAAAAACTTGCCAAAAATCACTATATTGTACTTTATCTTCTAAAAGTTACTCTAAGAAAATTAGAATTTTTATGAAATCTTCTATAACGTCATTCTCATATGTATGATTAAATTAATCAATACAGTTAATTACAGAGATGAAGTAGTATACATAGGACTATGATTCTGCTATTGCATTTCATGTTACAATCCTCCGCGGCGTGACTTGTCACGCCGTATATCGATATAACACAATAACCACCACCACAACACCACCACAACACCGCTCCCGCTCATTTCCGAGCCAAATTCACCATCACCATCACTGCCGCAGGCTAACACCGGTGCATCGCCGTCGCCATCGCCGCAGGCTAACACCGGCACACCGCCGCCACAGGCTAACACAGGCACACCGCCGCCACCGCTGCAGGCTAACACCGGCACACCGACGCTGCTTATGGCACCCACATCGTCAGCCAGATCGCTTATTCCGGCCACCGTCGCATCGTGGCACTGGGTCCAGGTAATCATACCTTTGACCCTTTGCTCAGCGTTTTTTGTGGCGGCCCTCTTCTCATGTTGGTACATCCCATGCCATCACTCGGCAGCGACTCACGCGAACGACACGGCGGCCGGCTTCTTCGTTTGCGGCCGAGTAGGTTAGGTTTGGATATTGGGTTTTAGGAATTTAGTCTGCTAGTCCAATATTTTGTCAAATTTACTGACGAATTTCTGACGTGGCAAAACAAATTTGCTTACTTGTACATTGGAATTGCTGACGAATTTCTGACGTGGAAAAACAAATTTGAAATAAAATCGAAATTAAGTTTTTGCTTAATGAACAAACAAATATATAGTATTTTCATTTTTTCTTGTTTTGGATACAAAAATTTCGGATTAAAAAAAAACAAATTTGTACTAATTTCTAATAGTATGATTTTTTTCATTTTTCGAAAAATATCTGGAACAAAATCGAAATTATTTTTTACTGGAAGGAAAAAATATAGAATTTTCATTTTTTTCGTTGTTTTGGATCCAAAAATTTCCGATTTAAAAAAAACAAATTCGTACTAATTTCCAAAATAATGATTTCGTTTTCATTTTTCAAAAAATATTTGAAACAAAATCGAAATTATTTTTTTACTTAATGGAAAAAATGTAAAACTTTCATTGTTTCGTTGTTTCGGATCCAACAATTTCCGATTTAAAAAAAAAAACGTATTAATTTCCAAAATTATAATTTTTTTTTTCATTTTTCAAAAAATAATTGAAAGAAAATCGAAATTAATTATTTACTTAAACAGAAATAATATAGAAATGCCAAAAGGGCCAAACAGTCCAATAGTTAGTGGACCATATTTGAGCCCAAAGCCCAGCCCGGAGACGGAAACTGTCTTTTCCCGCCATAACTGTCTTCAAAATAAAACAGAAAAAAAATCATCCATAACTGTCTTACACGCACATGCTAAACCAGACGATCAGAGAATACACGAAGAGAGAGAAACTCAGAGAGAGAGACGATAAATTCAGGTAACTTTCTAGAGAGAGAAAGTAAGAAATTCAGAGACTCCATAACTGTTTCACGATCTAGTTTTCATGAAATTAATTTTACTCGTCTGAATCTTCCAAGCTTGAAACTATCACCACCGGAATCAATTGTATCTGTATGTATATGTGCTGTTCATGCATGTTTAACGCGCGTGTACTTTGAATATTCCTTGAATTTTCGGTTTAATTTGGGGGTGAATTTGAATACTGGGTAAACAGGTTTTGATTATGTTTTTTTTTTCCCTTTTTTTGGGGTTTGATTCTCAAATGTTTGATATGGAGCTAAATTTCTGGAATCAATTGTATTTGTATGTATATGTATGTATATGTATATGTATCTTTAATTTCCGATTCTATTTTTCTTTCTTCCTTTTGCATTCTGGCCTGATTTGTATGTGAATGTGAATTCCCCGGAGCTGATTTATTTGTTCAATTTGGGGGTGAATTTGAAAATTGGGTAAATTAGGTTTTGATTCCGTTTTTCTTTTCGGCCTTGAATATTATTGGTTCAATTTTGGGGTGAATGTGATCTGCGAAAGTATATATTAACAGGTGCGAATTCGGTTTTACCGAATCTGAAGATTTAGATACACGTACAGCAGAATATTAATCCAATGGAAGAAATCGAAGGCAGCAGAAAACAGGCTGGAGTTCCCGAAATGATTCGTAATCTGAGTGATGCCCTTTTTGCAGTAGCCGAAGAAGAAGATTTATTGAACAGACCAGATGCTGTATTTCTTGAAGACGGTGAATGCGAATGTAAGAACACTCAATGTCTAGATGAGTAAGTGTTCGATCCTACACTTCTTGAATAATGATGATTATATACATGTGTGTGTATGTATATGTGATTACTGATTTGTTTAATTTAATCTGCAGTACGTGTAGTTGTTTTGAGGCACGTAAGTACTGCTCGACGAAATGCACTTGCCAAGAATGCAGGAACAATATAGTGGTACGGTTTTTCTGTTTTATCGTGGAACGATTCTTATTGAACGGAACTGTTTTTGTATATATATTAATTCTCCATTTCCGATTGCTCTAATTTTTTTCGTGAAACGATTCTTATTGAACGAAACTGTGTTCGTTACGGAAAAGCCTAAATCTGAGCGTAAAAGAGAATCACAAGTCATTATCAACGAGGCACCTTCGGCGAGTGTTCCACCAAAGAGAAAGAAAAAGAGAATTCTCTGCTGCAGATGCTTCACTACCGATTGTTCGTCAATAATGTGTTCGTGCTTTAAGGTACGGGTTTTAATGTTCTGCAGAAAAAAAAAACTTTTTTTTTTTCTTCTTGAATCGATTCTTATTAAATGAGACTTTTTTTGATCCGATGAAGGCCGACCGAGCTTGTTCAAATGTATGCAAATGTGAAAGGTGTGCCAACACGTTCGGTCGTCGACCGAAATGAAGTAAGAATTGGAAAAAAATATATTGTTTCAAGTAACTATTGCTAATAAGTGATCTCTATATTATGTTAATCTGAATTGTGAGTTTGTTTTTTTTCTGGTACAGTGTAACTGAAGATTCCAAGAAGTAGAAGAAGAGCTGCAAATATGATAATTAGTAGAATATATACTTGTATAAAGCAAATATGAACTGTTTGTTTGGTTTACCTATGCTAGGGGTACGAAATCGGAATTGAATTTTCCGATTCCAACGAACCTGTTCAGAAATGTTCTGAATTTAGGAGTAATTTTTTTTTTTCTTTTACCGGAATCGGAAGTATATACGGAATTTAATCTTCTGGATATTATAAGTAGCAGTAGAGTGAAATTTTCGTATTCCATCGACTTCCATCCGAAAATTTCTGCTTTTGGAACAATTTTTTCAAATTTTCGACTTTCCCGATTTTTTTTTGAAACATAATTGGAATTAGTTTATCACTTACAAAAATGATATATTTTCTCCAAAAGTGTTAAACTCCGATCTATCCGCCCGATATCCACTCCTACTTTTTTGCTATTAATTTAAATTTACTATTTCACCCTCCATTTTCTTCCCTTATCAATAAAATGCAATTGGAATTCTGAATCCTGCTTAATCACACACACAGAAAAAAAAGAAAAAAAAAACTCAAACTCAATTACACACTAGCAACCATGACTTTGTTCATGAGCAAGCCCGCCTTCTTGCGGGCCCGGCCCGTACACCTGACGGAGACATCTGCCAGCACCGACGACAACTCCGGCAATGCCACCGCATCCCTCAAGCACTCTTCGCTCTCATCAAACAACCTCAGTAGAATCTCCGAGGCCCCGTCTTTACTTAGCATGCACCCTCGTTTCAAGATCCCCACCATTCTTACGACGATCCTATCCGTTCTCTTAAGCTCGTTCAGCCCTTCTTCGAACCTGGCTATAAGTCCGAGTGCCACTAGGGAGGTACCGGAAAGATCCTCTCCGTCGGCACTCTCAGCCACCGCTATCAACACCTGCACAGCTCCGGCGCGAACAGCCAAAGTGCAGTTTCCTTGAAACTGCACTAGCTCCGCTAGGGAGCTGAGCAGGTGATGGGATGCGGGCCTTCGCGGGCCCGCTATCGCCTTCACTAGAACCTGAACGGTGCCGGTGACTCCGAATTTGGCTTTGTTTTTATCGAGCATGGCTAAACTGCAAAGCAAGGAGGCGGCGAGTTTGCCGGAATCAATGGAGTCGTTAGACGACAAAACGAGAGTATTAAGGTGGAGAATCAATTCCGTCCGAGCTAAAGAATTCTTCAAATTGGGGTTAAGAGAGAGATTGAAGAGCACCGAAAGCGCGAGAATTTGGATTTGATCTTGAGGAAAATGAGATTTGGAGAGTGAAAGAAGTAACGAAATGGCGCCATCGATTTGTGCAACGAAGTTGCGATTTTGCGGGCTGATTTTTGTGACGGCGACTAACGTTTGTAAGGCTTGTTGTCGAATATCTTCTTCATTGGAGCCCGAATATTGAGCTTTTCTGATACATTCGATTATGGTTTCACGAGCTCGATTAGACATGATTCGATCTATGCTGTTTTACTAGTTCATGGATTTATTTTTTCATACATAGCATATATATTAAGGAAGTTTTATTGCATGGTTTTGTTGTAATATTGGGACAAAGGAAAATTCGATGAGATCAATAATGTTATGAAAAAGACAGCAAATTATTTCTACTTTGGATTGTCAGTCGGGCAACTTATTTAAGGATCATTTACAATATCAACATTATTATCTATTTCCATTTTTTTTTTGTTGTTTTCGATCTGAAAATTTCCGATTAAAAAAAAAATTATACCAATTTCCAAAATTATGATATTTCATTTTTCGAATAATATTTGAAACAAAAATTGAAATTATTATTTTTTGACTTGCGGAAAAAATATAGAAATGCCGTACATGACAGCTGGCATAAAAATGGAAAGATGGGCCCTAATCCAATAGTTAGTGGGCCCAGAGACGAAAAGCTGTATTTTCCCGCCATATCTCAGCTAAAACCCCCCAACTGTATTATCCGATCGACGCACGTGCTAACCAACTCCCGGCGATTGGAGAAGACGCGAAGAGAGAGAAAGTCGATAAACTCAGGTAACTTTCTAGAGAGAGAAAGTAAGAAATGCAGGGACTCCATAACTGTTTCACGATCTAGTTTTCATGAAATTAATTTTACTCGTCTGAATCTTCCAAGCTTGAAACTATCTCCATCGGAATCAATTGTATTTTGTATGTATTTGTATGTATATGTACTGTTTATGCATTTTTAATTCGATTCTATGTGAATTCCCGTGAACTTATTGACACGGAGCTAAATTTTTGGTTTAATTTGGGGGTGAATTTGAATATTGGGTAAACAGGTTTTGATTCTGTTTTTTGGGCCCTGATTCTATGCGAGCTCTGAACTTTTTGATACGGATCTAAATTTCAATTTTTCGTTTGATTTTGTGTGAATCAACTTCTAGATACAGCGCCAAAATTTTAGTTTAATTTGGGGGTGAATTTGATTATTTGATTTTTATTCATCTTCAATATTCAAGTTTAAGGTAGCATTTGACAGGGATAATGTAAATTTCTAATTAGGGCATAATTCCATATCAATTGACTGAGCTTCTGCAAAATACATGGATAATCGTCATCGAAAACCGGCAGGATGGTCTAATCAGTTATACAACGATGTCTCGAATCTGCCGTGTGATTTCAATGGTTGTTGCTATTGTAAGAATGAATGCTCGATACAGTAAGTAGATCCATCAATCCCTTTTTTTTTCCTCCATTTTTTTAGTTCTGATTTTTATTAGCATGCATTGAACCTGTTTGTAATTTGCCCTACTCTGCAGTTTCTGCAAATGTTTCATTAATAAGTTGTTATGTGGAGAACCTTGCCCTTGCAAAGATTGCTGGAACGTTGTGGAAAACAGTGCAAAAGTTGCTGAAATACGAGAAAAGACCGAATCTAGTATTATTCTTCCATGGGATACTCATGAATTTAATTCCATACAAGTAGCACAAGGCATTATCAATGAAGCACCCTCAACGAGCACTCTTCCATCGAATATTCTTGAATCCGATTCCAAAGAAGTAGCACAAGACATTATCAATGAAGCACCCTCAACGAGTACTCTTCCATCAGATATTCTTGAATCGGAAAAACAGGCTGAAGTTCCCGAAATGCATCAAGAGAGTATTTCTGATGATATTCTGAGTCATGCCTTTATAGCAGCTCCTATCGGACCTGCCCCTGGCGAAATCGAGGATGAAATAATGGAAGACTTAACCAACAATGAAGACCAATTTCAAGAAGTCATTGAAGGCGGTGATTGTGAATGTAGGGACAATCATTGTACAGATATGTAAGTGTTCGATCCTCTTGAACAGTGATGATTATATACACGTATGTGTATATGTGATTACTGATTCGTTTAATTTCATCTGCAGATCGTGTATTTGTTATGCTGTAATGGAGTTCTGCAAGGGAAGATGCACTTGCCAAGGATGCAGGAACATAGATGAGATTTTCGGTTCGTGCAATGTGGTACGGTTTTTCTATTTTTTTTCAATTCTCTGTTTTTGCTTGATCTGCTCTACTTTTATCGCGGAACGATTCTTATTGAACGGAACTATCTTTTATTTATTTATTTAAATATGTATATATTAATTCTCTATTTCTGATTGCTGTACTTTTTTTCGTGAAATGATTCTTATTGAACGAAACTGTTTTGTTAAGGAGAAGCCTCAATTTGATCATAAAGACAAATCACAAGACTTTAGCAACTACATCTCAGATCTGCCGTATGATTTCAATGGTCGTTGCTATTGCAAGAATGGATGCTCGATACAGTAAGTAGATCCATCAACCCCTTTTCTTTTTATTCTTTTTTTAGTTTTGATTTTTATAACCTGTTTGTAATTTGTCCTACTCTGCAGTTTCTGCAAATGTTACATTAATAAGTCGTTCTGTGGAAATTCTTGCCCTTGCGAAGATCATTGCTGGAACAATGTGGAAAAAAATGCAAAAGTTGTTGAAATACGAGAAACGACCGAATTTAGTATTACTCTTTCATGGGATATTCTTGTCTTTAATTCCGAACCAGTAGCACAAGACATTATCGATGAAGCACCCTCAACAAGTACTCTTCCATCGAATATTCTTGAATCGGATTCCAAAGAAGTAGCACAAGACATTATCAACGAAGCACCCTCAACGAGTACTCTTACATCGGATATTCTTGCATCGGATTACAAAGAAGTAGCACAAGACACTATCAATGAAGCACCCTCAACGAGTACTCTTATATTGGATATTCTTGAATCTGATTCCAAAGAAGTAGCACAAGAAATTATCAGCGAAGCACCCTCGACGAGTACTCTTACATCGGATATTCTTGAATCTGATTCCAAAGAAGTAGCTAGCACAAGAAATTATCAGCGAAGCACCCTCAACGAGTGGTCGAGCAAAGACTAAAGACAATAACACTTTGGAAACTTGCTCTACTTTTTTCGTGAAATGATTCTTATTGAACGGGACTGTTTTGTTCTGAGGAAGGCCAAAGTAGGTTGCTCAATGGTATGTAAATGTAAAGGATGTGTCAATAGGTATTATAAGTAACTATTGCTCATAAGTGATCTCTATTTTATTTTAATCTGAATTGTGATTTTGTTTATTCTGGTTCAGTGTAACTGAAGATTCCAACAAGTTGAAGAAGCTGCAAAGGTGTGACATTGAACAAATAGATTGAGAAGCTGCAAATGTGACTAGTAGAATATATATATATATATATATATAGATAGATAGATAGATAGATAGATAGATACAATATATGTAGTTGTTTTTGGAACTTGACTATATTGATCTGCTAAGCAGATAAAGTAGATATGAACTGTTTGTTTCGTTGATCTTGGATCGGAATCAGAAGTATATACAAATTCTAATTTTTTGAAAATCCTAAGGTTTTCAGGATAGTATGTTTATAATACTAATACCAATACTACTAATACTAATATTAATACAAATACTAATACTCATACTGATATCGATAATATCGACAATACAAATACTAATACTACTAATACTTAATATAGTAATATGGATACACTAATACTAAGGCTAATAGAATTTTCATTTTTTCGTTGTTTTGGATCCAAATATATTCCAATTTTAAAACAATGTTTTTCCTACCAATTTCCAAAATAATGATTTTTTTTTTTCATTATTCGAAAAGTATTTGAAACAAAATCGAAATAAAGTTTGAGCCCAAAGCCCAGCCCAGAGACGGAAACTGTATTTTCCCGCCATATCACAGCTAAAACCAAACCCCCGAACTGTATTTCCATCTTCAAAATAAAACAGAAAAAATATCATCTGATAGAAGCACATGCTAAACCAACTCAAGGCGATCAGAGAATACGCGAAGAGAGAGAAACTCAGGTAATTTTCTAGAGAGAGAAAGTAAGAAATGCAGAGACTCCTTAACTGTTTCCTGATCAAGCTTGAAAGTTGAAACTATCACCATCCGAATCAATTGTATTTGTATGTATATGAATTGTTAATGCATTTTTAATTCGATTCTGTGTGAATTTGAATTTGGGGGTGAATTTGAATACTGAAGATTGATTCTGTTTTTTCATTTTCTTTTTGCAGTAAGGTATTTACTTTACTGAATCTGAAGATTTTGGATACTCGGTTGAATATAATAAGGCTGAATCTCTCCATGGATAATTATTCTAAAAAACCGGCACATTGGTCTTATCCTCTTTTCAACGCCGTCTTACGCATGCCTTATGTTTTCAATGCTTGCGATTGTAAGAATCGATGCTCGAAATAGTAAGTAGATCCAACTTTTTTTTTTCTCCCCTTCTTCTGATTTGTGCATTGTACCTGTTTGTAATTTGTCCTACTCTGCAGTTCCTGTGAATGTTTCGTTTACGAGTTGTTCTGTGACGAATCTTGTCCTTGCAAAGATTGCTGCTGGAACAGAGTGGAAAACCGTGAAATACGAGAAGAGATTCTTGAATCTAGTATTAATCCTCTTCCATGGGATATTCTTGAATTTAATCCCGTAAAAGTAGCACAAGGCATTATCAACGACGCACCTTCAACGAGTACTCTTTCATTGGATATTCTTGAATCTGATTCCGAAGAAGTAGCACAAGGCATCATCAACGAAGCACCCTCAACGAGTACTCTTCCATGTGATATTCTTGAATTTAATCCCGGAAAAGTAGCACACGGCATTATCAACGACCCTCCTTCAACGAGTACTCTTCCATTCGATATTCTGGAATCTGATTGCAACGAAGTAGCACAAGGCATTATCAAGAAAACACCCTCAACGAGTACTCTTCCATGGGATATTCTTGAATTTCATCCCGGAAAAGTAGCACACAGCATTATCAACGACGCTCCTTCAACGAGTACTCTTCCATGGGATATTCTTGAATCTGATTCCGAAGAAGTAGCACAATGCATTATCAACGAAGCACCGGATATTCTTGAATTTTATTCCGAAGAAGTAGCACACAGCATTATCAACGACGCTCCTTCAACGAGTACTCTTTCATTGGATATTCTTGAATCTGATTCCGAAGAAGTAGCACAAGGCATCATCAACGAAGCACCCTCAACGAGTACTCTTCCATGGGATATTCTTGAATTTAATCCCGGAAAAGTAGCACACGGCATTATCAACGACGCTCCTTCAACGAGTACTCTTCCATGGGATATTCTTGAATCTGATTCCGAAGAAGTAGCACAATGCATTATCAACAAAGCACCGGATATTCTTGAATTTTATTCCAAGGAAGTAGCACAACGCATTATCAAGAAAACACCTTCAACGAGTGTTTCAGCAAAGACTAAAGACAATAACACGAGTGAAAGTGACGACCTAGTGGAATATTGCACATGTAAGAAGCGAGGATGTTCAATGTAAGTGGATCCAACATATTTGTGATTTTATTTATTTATTTATTTATTTTATTTTATTTTTTTTGTTTACATGCAGTTGTTTTCTTGATTGGCCGAATGTCCACGTGACGAGAAAGGAGAATCGACCTGCAAATAATAAGAATCCCGGCGGCTGCAAGTGCATGGTGTGCAAATGTTCCAACAAGAACTGTCCGTGCGTTAGGGTACGGGTTTTTTTTTCTTTTTAATTTTCCGTTTTCCATTGCAGTACTATGTTTTTATTTTCTTGAATCGTTTCCTATTGAACGGGACTGTTTTGTTCTGAGGAAGGCCAAAGTAGGTTGCTCAATGGCATGTGAATGTAGAGGATGTGTCAATAGGTTCTGTCGTAAACCGAAATGAAGGTAAAAATTAGACAAAAAATATATTGAAAGCAATTATTGTTAAGTGAATCTCTATCTTGTGTTAATCTGAACTGCGAGCTTGTTTATTATCGTACAGTGTAACTGAAGATTCCAACGAGTCGGAGAAGTTGAAGTGTTCGTTTCGTTGATAAGCAAATAAAGTAGATACAAAGTGTTTGTTTCGTTGATCAGAAAAGTTCTGATCTTGGATCGGAATCGGAAGGATATATGGATTCTAATTTTCGGTAAATAAATATGTATATAGTTTATGCAAAAAGTATTAAAGTAAGGAAAATTGCAAATTTATATGGTTGGAGTCGATAAGTAGAACTGAAAATCGGGCCATGTGAGTCGAAATTCGAAAGGACAAATATCATAAGATAATTAATGCTTAAGTTCAAGGAATTCTATACTGAGAGAGCATCAAGTTATATATATCAATTTGGGATAATTACACTTTTGGTCCCTCATGTTTGACCAGATTTCACTTTTGGTCCCTGTTGTTCCAAAGTGAACAAAGTTCACCTCCAAGTTTCAATTTTAAACACTTTTGGTCCCTGCCGTTAAATTTCCGTTAGCAAGTAACGGAAAACACTATTTTGGGGTGAAAATTGAAATTTTAAATTTTTCAGGGGCTGAAAAATAATTACACATTAAAAATAGACTACTTATAAATTTTAATAATAATAAAAAAATAAAAATTAACCAAACAAATCTTTTTGGGGGGTAAAGTGATATTTATGTTCCTTTAGTTTTGGGGTTTTTTTTAGGGTTTATTTCTCTCTCCTCTCTCTCTCTCTCTAGCAACACAGATGAAGAAGTCTTTGATCCCTTCTCCTTCCTCACCATTTCCTTCACGATTGCTCTTTTCAGTAACTCCATACAATAAATCTTTAACCTCCGCATCTTGTTCTTCGTCAATCGATGAAACCACAAGTACACCAATCACGAATTCAGAACCACAAAACCCAATCAAGATCCAAACTTTTCAAAAACCCATTTCAGAAAATCCGCGTTTAAGCCAAGCAAATGTCGTCGAGACGCTTTTATCTAACTTCAACGACCCACGTTCAGCTCTTGATTACTTCAGATGGGCGGAGAAGCAGCGAGGTTTCGTACGAGAAATTGGGGATTCGTTTCTCGTGCTGCTACACATTCTCGTAAGTTCCCATTACCACCACGGTTCAGCTAGGAATTTGCTCAATAATTACCTGTCTAGTGATTCCGCCCCTTCGGGCGGTGTGCTTGTTCAACGCTTGATTGATTGTTCCGATAAATTTGGGTTTCGGCGGAGCCCTAGGATTTTCGATTACGCTTTGAATGGATACGTTAGGGCGCAGCGTTATAAAGACGCAGAGGATTGTTTTTACGCGTTGGTTTCTCGTGGCGTAATCCCCTGTGTCCGTATTTTGAATAATTTCCTACATTCATTGATTAGGACGAGTATGATCGACGAGGCGCGTGGATTGTTCGGTGGCATTGTTTCGAAGAAGCTCAGTTACGATTGCGCCACGGTGAACATGATGATGTGTGCGAGTTTGAGAGAAGGCAAAACCGAAGAGGCTGAAAAGTTCTTTCTAGAGGCGAAGAGAAGTGGGATCATTCTCGATCCTTTTGTCTATAATACTGCAGTTCGGACTGCTTGTATGAAACCGGATTTAAATGTTGCGTTTGTTTTGTTGAGTGAGATGAAAGAGAAGGGTTGGGTTCCCGCCAAGGGTACGTACACGCACTTAATATGTACTTGCGTTGAACAGAGGAATATGACCGAGGCATTAAGGCTTAACGACGAGATGATTAGTAAAGGGCATCCGATGAATTTGGTGGTTGCTACTAGTTTGATGAAGGGTTATTATCAACAGGGTAATCTAAATAGCGCTTTGGAATTGTTCGATAAGGTTCTTGAAAACGGGCTTTCTCCGAACAAGGTCACGTATGCAGTCCTCATAGAAGGGTGCCGTGTGCATAGAAATATGGTGAAGGGGAGAGAGTTGTATGAGAAGATGAAATCTGCGGGTATTTTGCCGACTGTTTATATTGTGAATTCTTTAATTAGAGGGTGTTTGCAGAATCAACTGATCGACGAGGCGAATAAGATATTCGACGAGGCTGTTAGCGATGGGATTGCCAATGTTTTCACTTATAATAATTTAATATCTTGGTTCTGTGAAGGGGGTAGGTTAGGTGATGCGATTAGGGTATGGGATAAGATGATTGATCACGGAATTGAACCGAGTGTGGTTTCTTACAACAATATGATTTTGGGTAACTGCAGAAAAGGTTTTATGGATGTGGCGGCGGCTTTGCTGTCTGAAATGGCGGAAAAAAACGTGAAACCGAATGTTATTACGTATAGTATATTGGTCGATGGGTATTTCAAGAAAGGTGAAACTGAAAAGGCCATTGCTCTCTTTGACAGTATGTTGACCTCGGGTATTTCCCCCACCGATGTAACGTACAATACAGTCATAAACGGGTTGTGCAGAGTTGGGCAAACCGTTGCAGCAAAAGATAGAATGGAAGAGTTTGTGGCGAAGGGTTTCGCTCCCATTTGCATGACGTATAACAGCCTTATAAACGGATTTATGAAGGAAGGCGAAGTCAACTCCGCATTGGCTGTTTACAACGAGATGTGCGGAACGGGAATTCTACCCAATGTGATCACTTACACCACTTTGATCGACGGGCTTTGTAAGAGAAAAAATCTTGATCTTGCATTAAAGATGCAAAGGGAGATGCGTGCAAAAGGTATCGAAATGGATGTAACTTGTTATAACGCTCTAATTGACGCCTTCTGCAAAAGAAACGACATGAATAGCGCACGTGAACTGTTCGACGAAATTCTCGACGTCGGCCTTTCTCCAACTACGGGTGTATACAACACCATGATTGGTGGATATAGAGACTTGTACAACATGGAATCGGCTCTCGATTTGTACAAAAGAATGAAAAACGAAGGGATTCAATGCGATTTGGAGACTTACACTACTTTAATAGACGGGCTGCTAAAAGTTGGGAACATAGTGCTTGCGTCCGAAACGTACCAAGAGATGCTTGCCAAGAATATAGTGCCGGATGTTATTACGTACTCGGTTTTAGTACGAGGTCTTTGTAATAAAGGACAGGTGGCAAATGCTCGGAAGGTTCTAGAAGAGATGGTCAAGAAGAGTATTACTCCGAATGTGCTTGTATATAATACGCTAATTGCCGGATATTTTAGGGAGGGTAATTTGCAAGAGGCGTTTAGATTGCACGACGAAATGCTCGATAGAGGTCTTGCGCCCGATGATGCAACTTATGACATACTTGTGAATGGGAACTTTAAACAAACTGTTTCGTCCAATGGAGCTTTAAGTGTATGAATCGTCTTTGCCCGCGGCATTGTTGACAATTTACTGAATCGCCTCTGTGAAGATTTCGGAATGAGATATTCGTATTTCCTCGTGAGTTCAATTTGGTGGCAAATAGGGAGCTCTTTTTTTCGAGGAAGTACGAGGTTTTTCGACATATGTATGAGTAACTGTGTTGCTTCTTTCTATCAATAAAATATGAAATTTTTATTCCGACCATATATAATGATACAAGAAACTTAGGAATGAATGGAAAAAAAAAATTACAACAATTAATTTATAATTAAAAGAAAATAGAAAAATAAATGAATAATCAGCCATGCATGAATAATATAATAATATAATAATTAACTAGTTAATTAGCAAAGGGAACAATGAGCAGAGCAGTGATAAGGGGCTTGAGCAGTTTCTCAGGGTTAGTGTATCCATCTTGATTATGCTTATAAACGACGTCAATCAATCTCGAAAGATTTACGATTCTTTTCAGAATCTCGACCGATACCGATTTTTCGTTGAATATTTCGCCATTAATATCTTTCCAAGCTTTCTCAGCAATATTATTGAATTCTTTCATTGCTTCTTCCTCGGATACTCCGTACTCTTTCATGTAGCACTCGATCCCGGTCCCACTTTGCCCTCTTTTCTTCTCGATCTAATTAATTATAAAAAATACATTAATATAAATTAAAGTAATTAGCATTTAATTCCATTTTCATAAATTAATATATATAATTATGTTATGTATGTATGTTTGTATGCATGTATGTATGTATGTAGGTACCTCGTAAGTAGCTATATCATCGACAAATCGACAGATAGTAACGTTAGCGACTTGGATTTTGGGTTTGTTGATGAGCCAATCGAAAGCTTCCTTCGATGCTGATGTCATGCCGATGAAAGAAGTGGCGGCTAGCAAATAGTATGTGCTTGTAATGAAACCATTTGTCTTGTAATCACTAAATGAAGGCATGTATCCTTCCATATTAAACCACTTTGACTCTATGTTGTAGCTCCTCACTATTTCCTTCATCTGCCCAAATTTAAATATATAATTAATTAAAATCAAGAAAACAATTAATCAAATTTAAACTGAGTAAGTGTATAATATAATGAATTACTTACGGTTGCTTTTGCATAATGAACTGCAAACGATCGTTCTTGATCGCTTAGTTCTTCATCGTATTGTTCGTATAGATCCAAAACAGCTTTGTAGCATATTTTCATGTAGTCCGGGAGTTTCTGCATTTCCTTAATATCCCATCTGATAAAAAAGCAAAATTCAAAAAAAATAAATAATCGACTTATATTAATCTAATAATCGACTTAAATATAAAAGTACCTTTCAATTGCATCGGTGAAAATTTGGAGTTCGTCAACAGTACCGTAAGAATCGTAAGTATCGTCAATTACGGAAATCATAGCTATAGTCTTGGCCAACATAATACGAGCTCTCGAGTATTTAGGCTCGTAATAAACTCCCAATGTCCAAAAATAGCATTCCACCACTCTATCTCTTACATACGACAGTTTCGAAACGAGGTCCAATTCTTTCCACCACCTGCCGTATACATACATATCGATTACTAAAAATACCGTATAAATACATATCGATTACTATAATATTTTCGTAATATATACATATTAATTCATAAACTAATTAATAAAATTAAGTATATACCTGGATAATTCACAAAGTTCTTTCCTGTGTAACATTTGCACCGAATTGAAATCCAACTTCGCAAGCCTCAACAAAGAATCGTTTTTCGATTCGAATTGTTCGTATATTGAAATGTAACGATGTGCCTCAACTCTTGGAATGCCGCGTTGCATGCATTGCTCTAAGGCGTGTTCGATTTCTTCTTTGAGGGGGGAACTTATAATCATCGAATTATGTTGATTATTATTATTATTATTGATCGATTTAATTAGATGACAAGTTGTGAAAGAAAGAGCTTCTTCTAAAATATCTTCTCCATGTGTCCTCAAATTCGCGGCTTCGAATAGGCTCAAAAGACCCCTAGTGTCATTCTCGAGACAACTCTTGAATTTACCGTCGGTTTCCGTGAATTTCTCGAAAATGCCTGGTGTTCGATAACAATAATATAATTAATTAAATTGAACGTAAATTTGGTAATTAAATAAAATTCGATGTGATTTAATTTAATTTAATTTAATTTACCTGAGGAGATGTGATGGCCATGTTGCCTCAACAACCTGAAGTAAAGAGCAACAGTGTGCAAATCACCATCATCAATTTTTTCGAGACTGAGATATTGAATTTGTTGTTCGATCTCTTTTTCGAAATGATACGAAATCCCGAGGCGTTCGATGCTGTCTATTAGGTTCAACTTTTCTGCAGCAAGCATCTCATTTCTTATGATCAACCCCCTCACTTCGTCGTTCAACGCCTCGATAATTATATTTTCGCCGTAATTTTCGAAAACCTGGTCTCGGGCCGGGCCGGGCCATATCATAAATGAAAGAAACTTGTAAGTATTTGTATACATACAAAATATATATATATCCATGCAACAGAAAACATATACACAATACATACATATATAAATAAATAAATAAATAAATAATACCTGATTATAGTCGGTAGAAACCGAACTAAAAAGATCGCCCCATAAACTAGGGGAGAAGTTCGCTGCCGGACGAACGATCTCCTCTTGTTGAAAGGTCTTAGGATTTCCAGAGGCCATTTTCGGGTTTATATTATGTTCGATTGTAAAATATAATTCAAACTTATTTTTTTTCAAGAGAGAGGAAATGTGTTCAAATTGTGAAAGTATATATTAATTGGGGAATTGCAATGATCTATTTATAGAGATATGAAGGTAAATTTTTTCAAGTTTGGTGTTAAAATATTTCCACAAGTCTTTACCAAGCTTGTAGAAATCCATGTACATATATATATGTATATATATGTAATTGAGTTGAATAATTCGTGCTTCTCGATTGTTTGAATGGAATAGATCAATACTAATATCTTAGAATATTTTACATGGAATATTGGGTCATGGGAAATTAGGGTTTTAGACCCTTTTATTTAATTTCTAGGTCAAACTCGTCATTTTTCACCTTTGTATGATTATTAAGAACGTCAATAAACGTGTTTTCATTTAAAAAAACAAATACACATTAATCATTTAATGATGTAGTAAGAGATGGTTAATACTTAAGAGTTTAATTAATAAGTTTAAAATCCGGAAATTAATGCAGTATTGAAAAATCTGAAGTGACATATTATATAGAACAATTTTGTTTATAAAAAAACTCATTATTATGGAACAGAGAAAGTATATACGACTACGAGTACATTTGTCAATACAGGCAAAAGGGTAATTTAGTAGTTTGACCACATCACGGGCTGACTATTGTATTACAGCATTCCCATGTGATATGCCTAATTGGCCCAACCCAATGGGCCTACAAATTATTTACCTAATGGGCCACGAGCTCAATATCAAAGACCACTATCATCGAGGCCCAATCACCTTCAAGCAAGGTTTGGGCCCGACAATCTCAACTAAGCTATAAATACACATTTGAACTCATTCCATAAGGTACGTCCTATTAACTGAGCAATACTACAACTGTATTCTCTGGACTATTTTCACTATCCACACGTCTGACTTGAGCGTCAGAGGGGTTTCCGCCGGATCAACCCCCGGCTTAGTTCATGTGTGCTCATTTTGCAGGGACCTCAGGATCATCAAGTTGTCAAGCTACTGATATGTTTTGCTCTCCCAGCTCATTTTCTACACCACCCTAGGTGAGCTACATTTTAGCATCATCACCATGCAATGCAATGTGTGCGGTTCAAGAAACTTTCCAGTCAAGTTCAAGAGTACACTATTAGTTACAGGCCGAGTTTGAATGTATATAAACATACCACAAATGGAAAAGCGTGCTTTGAACAACATCAGTAAATTCCATGCACGCACGCGCATAGCGATTTCTCGCTCATTCAAATTAAATGGAACTAAACTCTTAAAGTACACTATATAGTCATAACACGTAACTGATTTAGAAAGCTGAACAATTGTGACCAATATTATAATTCTTTAGTTTAATTTATTTGAATTAAATTAAATTAAAATTCATAGCAGTCAAATTAAATATTAAATTACGGTGACTAACAGTAATTGAGGTCAATTTTAACAGTCAAAGTCTTGGGGATGTCTCATGTAAAATATATATACATGTCATTTTTTTTATATTGTTGCGCACAACATTAATTCTCGAACGAGGTATTAAAGCTCGTTTGGTTAAGTTTATATTAAACGTCTGATAGGCTTTTAGATCTGATACATTATTTTAAAAGTTGATAAGATGTTACGTCTTATTTATAGAATTAATAAAACTATAAAAATGTGTGTAATAGCTTCTCTTTTATTCATCACAGTAGAAAGTTTATATACAGGTATTAGCTTGGATGATTTCTCAATCTTAGCTAATTACAAGATTTGCTATTAATGTAAATTACAAGATATACGTGATTGCTAATCAATCAAATATTCTGAGACTAATTTCTAGCTATCACCCTAAATTATGAAATATAATATTAATTATGATTAACTACAAAGATATACAATTAATTCCTCTAATAAAAACGATATAATTATATGCAGGACTTCAGCACCTGAGTTTCTAACGGGGTACGTATTCGTTTTGTTATGTAAATAAATGACGGTCAAAAAATGAAATCAATTTATAAATGAGTTAATAATGTGGTTGTTGATTATGAATTGACCTTTTTACTACCTAGTAGAATTCGACCTCCAATCTTCTTTGTTTCTTTATTTTTTTATTTTTTATTTCTTCGTATTTTCCGAATTTAAATGACGAATACTTTGGTTGCCATGTTTGAATGGTTGTGTGTTTCCAATATTTCTTTTCGGTTTATTTGACCAAATAAATAAATTAATAATAAAATAGAATCTTAAAAGATAATAGTGAACGTCACTCAATCGAAGATATATTTTCAAGAGTTGGTGATTAAAATAAAATTGTGGGGTTGATTATAAAGTAGATTATCATTCTAATTAACTAGCACGGGGTAGCATTGTAAAAATAATAAAATAAAAATAACCACCAAATTAATTACAAATTATAATTATTATAGAAGAAAATTAAATCAGGAAAACAAAACTAAAAAGTAGTTTGGATTTCACACAGTCATAAACTATTATACTCATTAAATATGGAAGAAGAACACATTAAATCTAAATAAGAAAATGTTAAATTATGCAGGATTTTTTTTAATCAAAATTTTGTGTGTGTGTGAGAGAGAGAGCGCGCGAGATTTTGCTTAGCTTACACTTTCGGTAATTAAAATTAAAAAAAAAATCCACATCGCCATCGGTGTGTGTAAGAGAGCGAGACAGAGATAGATCTACAAAGAAATTGCAATTTTTTTTTAAAGCATCCGAGTCGATTAGGATTTTGCAAGCCTATTGCAAATCGATTTACTATGGAAGCCATTAGAGAGAGAAAAAAAAAAGGTGCATGGAAGATAGGAAATGAAAAAAATCATTATCGACCCTCTTTATAATTAGGGTTGGTATATTATAGGTGTTGGTTGGAATACTTACACGCAAGTGCACATATCGTACAAATAATAAAATAGATTTTTAAGTTCAAATATCGATGCCACAGAGAATATTTCGTTATTTAATTTTAGACGTTAAATTCTACCAATTATTATCAAGCACACTCTAACACAATTGAATTTAAAGATAATTAACTAAATTAAACTAAATTAAGGCAAATTAAAAGGACAAAGCAAGAAAGCAAATTAAACACGAAGATTAATCAAAGTAAACAAGCCTAGGATTTTATTTTCCCCCCTATGTGATTATTACTCTCCAAATTTCTTCAATTATGCAAGTAATTATGCTAAATTAATCATAACGCGCTTTCGCGTGGATTACAATTCTAATACTCTAGATTCAATTACTGTATTCCCACGCAATTAATTCTAGAACACATCATCATTAAGCACAAATCTCAATAATGGCTACCTAAGAGATTAACTATATTCCTATGTTAATACCACAAAAGCTCTTCTACCACAGTTCTAGTTATTAATCCGATCGTCCGATTCATGCAATTAATAATAACATAAAAGCACATAAGGTGATCAAGTTCATGCACTTAATAAAACAAGTAGAAGAAATAATCCGGAATTAAAACTTGCATAAAATCATAGAAAATAGTTCATAAATCCCACATAGGGTTCAAAATAAAATCCTAAAAATAAAGACTTAGCTACTCGTAGCTCTTATGATAAAGAAAATAAAATAAATAAATAAAATAAGAAAAATTATGCTTGAATCTTCGTTGATCTTCTTTGCTCTTGAATTTGCGTAAAAAGATGGATCCCCAATTGTGTGCTTGGCTTGGTCTTATATATGGTGGAAAATTTGGAGAAAAAAATAGTTTCCTTGTGCAATTAGGATTCCTTTACTGCGCATTTTCGTCATCTTAGATGGTCGTCCCAGATTTTGTACTAAAACTCGGACGGCCGTCAAAACCAGAGGCTGCTTCTGCTTCTCAGACGGCCGTCCCAGTTTTAAGTGTAAATCTGGGACGGCTGTCCCGGGCTAATTTCTTCAGATTGTTGATTTCTTCACTTTTGGCCCATATTTTCTCCAAAATTGCAGTTTTGACCCCATACTTTTCCAATTCTTCAATTTGTACCTAAAATACAATAATTCAACTTTTTAAGCACCAATTATCGTTAAAACACACCAAAAGTTCAAATAAAAAGGTACGATAAAGTGTAAAAATATACACTTAACATAGGGTCGGACAATTATCGGTCAATAATTTATCCGAACCGACCACCCGATTTTACTAAATATTGAAAATCATTACTGCTCTCCGACCACTATTGGTCGGATAGTGGTTGGTTTGTTGACATTATCAGCTATCTATCTTTTGAGTTATATGGGTCCGTTAAAATAGATCAATACCGACCATTAATAGTATATATAGTTGATGTGATATTGAAACAATGACTTCAACATAAAGACTCATTTTTTATTGAAATTGAAAACAAGAAAATCAGTCAAACTTTTTATTACATGATATAAAAATAAAAAACTAATAAAACAAAAACACACTTTGATCATGACACCACCATTATTTATTCGATTTTATTAACTACTTAACGACTTTTAATTTACTTAATTAATTTGATCATCAGTTGGAAGGACTGTAGAGCGTGGGAACCAAAACCAGACCATTCTTCCTCGAGACAGCAATCCCTTCTTGCTCAGTCATATCAATACCGCCACGTGTCATCCCCTCCGGCATGCTCCAGTCAAAATGGTACAGAATCTGAGCCAATGGGAGCTCAGTGTTTGCCAGCCCGAAATTCATGCCCGGACAAATCCTTCTCCCCGCACCAAACGGAAGATACTCGAAGCTGTTCCCCTGAAAATCCACCGCACTGTTCTCGAATCTCTCCGGTTCGAAACTCTCCGGTTTGTCCCAGTACTGTGGGTCCCTCCCCATTGACCAGATGTTGACCATGACTTTGGAGTTGATAGGGATTGAGTATCCGTTGACTTTGACTCCTTCCTCTCTGCATGCTCTCGGCAGCAACGGGATCGGAGGGTGTAGCCGGAAAGTTTCTTTCACCACCAGCTTCAGGTATTTCAGCCCCTGTAAATCGCTCTCCTCCACCGTGTTCTTCCCCTTTAGCGCCTCTCTTATTTCTGCCTGTACTTTTGCCATAACCCTAGGGTTTCTCATCAGCTCCGCCATTGCCCAGTCCATTGTCGTCGATGATGTTTCAGTTCCGGCCGAGAACATATCCTGTATATATTTTTATACATACGTCACTCAACATGTGTGTAAACACCTCCTGAGGTATGGTCAAATTACAAAAACCCCCCTCTTGTTTGCATAATTATATCTACCCCTCAACTATGATTTTTTCTTAGACATCCACCTTTATGGTGCCAAATTCAACATAGTCATCTAGATTCCGTGAAATGTGCTCTAGTTTGTACTCTTTTTGAGTAAAAAATACAGTTTTCGATGCACCACAAACTGATATATACAAGCTAAAAATCACATATTATGGTCATCTTGCTTCATAATGTAGAGTTTGAATGGAATAAAATGGGTACAAAAGTGATAATATTCCATATAATCTCGAAGATTCCACTAAATTTGATGAGTTGAGGGGTGGTTCTAATTATCCAAACAAGAGGGGTGTTTTGTAATTTGGCCATACCTCAGGGGTGTTTGTAATTTACCCATATATATATATTAAATTACAGCCAACCCCTAAATTATGGTCAAATTACAAAAAAACACCCTTATGTTTGGATAATTACAACTAGCTCCTTCAACTATGAATCGTCTTACATGTCACATTTACGGTGTCAAATTCATTGGAATCTTCTAGATTAATTATGTGGAATATTCTCCAAATTTGTTCCCTTCTTACCCTATTCGAGCTCCACGTTTTAAAACAAGATGATCATAAGATGTGTCTATTGGTTTGTAAATATCAGATTGTGGTGTATCAGAAACAGTATTTTTGCACAAAACGAGTACAAACTAGAGAAAATTCCACGGAATCTAGAAAATTATGTTGAATTTGACAATATACGGGTGGACGTGTAAGAAAACTCATAGTTAAGGGGTTTGAATGTAAATACAGAAACTAGAAGGGTTTTTTTCGTAATTTAACTATACCTTAGGAGTTGATTGTAATTTATATATATGAATGATAGAAATTAAAGAAGAGACTTACAAAGATGACAGCTTTGATATTGTCGTTAGTGATGGGAAACTGGAGTTCGCCGTTCCTCTGCATCCTGATCAGAACATCGACAATGTCTTCGCCGCCGAACTCGCCGTTCTGCTTCAACTTGTGCTCCGCCACGATTACGTCCAGTATCGAATCGAGCCGTCTACGCATCCTCAACAGCTTGAGCTTGTTCCAGCTGAATATATTCAGAAGCTTCGACGACGGAAATAGATCGGCGAGCTCAAACCCTCCGGCCATGGTGACACCCTTCTTCAGCAAGAATATCAACGAGTCCCGGTCCTTCAACACCTCCCCGAACGCCGCCCTGCACGTGATCGCGCTCGTCAGCCCGAACACCTTCTCCGTCAGGTTGACGGCGGCGCCGCCGCGGGCAGATGATCGGAGTGATTCGATCACGCGCGAGACCTCCTCCTTCCTGATTGATCCGAACGATTTGACGTTCTTAGCGCTGAGGAGTTCGAGGATGCAGATCTTGCGCATCTGCCTCCAGTACTCGTTGTACGGGCTAAACGCGATATCGGTGTAGTCGTACCACATGATCTTAGTTCCGATGCTTTCGGGCCGGCCCGCGCAGCCTGGGTCCTGGTCCTTCAGGACCTGCTTCGCGGCGTCGCGAGACGAGATCACCACCGCGGGGATCTCGCCGAGCTGGAGGTGCAGCACGGGGCCGTACTTCTGGGAGACTCGCCGGAGGGCGGCGTGCGGCAGTCCTCCGACCAGGTGGTGGAGGTGGCCGATCACCGGCAGCTTCGGCGGGCTCGGCGGCAACTTCTCGTACTTTTGCGAGGATTTTGGTTTCTTCCATAACTTGATGAGTAAGAAGATGAAGGATGACACAACCACCAGAGTGGTGAAGTTCATGAACGGAATATTCTGTATATCCATGAACGAAGATCGAAACTAGTGTATGTATGTATGTATGTATATATCTGTCGTCTTCTTAATTACGTTTGCTTGTGTTTAATTTGATGAAACCCTATGACAGCTTTGGCCTGTATTTATAGGGAGTAGTAATATGCAATATTATTCATTGATCATCAAATATATTATTACTTGATTATTTGAAGAAAAATGAATTTGGCTTCTTTTTTTCATTTATTGACGGCTAAATAATATTATATTCTACAGATGGACTTCTTTTTCTCCAATTGATGGTCTTCTAATATACTTTTCTACTATCTAGACTTGACTAAAATTGTAAGAATTATAATAATTAAATACGGTAAATTACGGCCAACTCTCTAAGTTAAGGTCAAATTACGAAAAAAATTCTCATGTTCGGATAATTACAATTACATCCCTTAGCTATGAATCTTCTTACACGTCCATGCATCATTGTTGTGTAAAAATTTAGTGAAATCTTCTAGATTAATTATGTGGAATATTCTCATGTTTGTACTTATTCTACTCCATTCCACCTCGACTTTTTGAAACAATATATATGATTGTAAGATCATGTGTACGTCTCTTGAGTACGTACTTGTAGATATCAGATTGATGTGCATCATAAACTGTTTTTTTTTTTTTTTTTTTTGCACAAAACGAGTACAAATTAGAGAACGTTTATAAGATTTTATTGAATTTGACAGCTGAAGGGTGAGCGCATAAGAAGATTCATAGTTGATGAGGTGATTGTAATTACTCAAATATAAGGAATTCTTTCGTAATTTGATTGTATTTCAGAGGTGACCGTAGTTTAGCCTAATAAATAATATTATATTAATGGCAGACTCTCATAATTCTTGGGTGATATAAAATAATATATTAACAAAATCAGATTCGTCATTAGCAGAATTTAATTAGTTTGTAGTTCATGAGGAGCATCATAGATAGTAGAAGCTTCATTAAAAAAAATAATAGTAGTTTAAAAATGTGTAGTGTTCAATGTTATGCAGTTATATATTGATGTTGTTAAATAATCACTTATTACCCACATATACATATAAATATATTAAATTATATACAGATCAACGAATAATACTCGGTGTATTGCACTAAATGTAGAGTCAAATAAACCATTGAATACAATGGAAAAAAATAAGATAAGAAATTGAGCAAGATTTGAATTGACGGCAGATGTTTGATTTGACTACAATAATAACAGCAGTCAAAGAAGTATTCAATGTTTTGTGTGATAATATATTGAAGTTTGATTAATTTGTATAAAATAATTTTTATTTTATTTTGCAAGGATTGAGGAGCGGTTGCGCTGTTAACTTTGAGGTGACACCACTTCCATAAAAAGCCAGATTTTTTTTGTTGGGCCATAATTAATTGCACACTCTAATGGGCTAATTCAGATATATGTAAACTATTTCATATTTTAAGAATTTTTGAAATAAATTCTAATTATGTGATTATTAAAAATAAAATTTGGAAATATTTTTAATTATGTTTTTTTAGCAAATACCTAACTTACAAAATTAGCTTAAAACGGAATGAAATCGCGAAAATAAAATAATTTATAGTAATCTATTCAAAAACAATAAACTCTGGAATACAACGAAAAATAGAGAAAAATCGTATATATGTCTAACAAAAATAATTGGGATTACTCGTGTGTAGATAAAAATATAGTGTTGCTACTTCATTTTTGTCACGAGAAGATAGGAAGAGCCACCGTGGCGCATTTAACCCATTTTAGACCGCGACGAATTTGTCATTTTTGCAGTGGTTTTATTTGATTTTGATAGTGGTTGGCCATTTGTGGATGTTTGTTATTTTCGTTTCCAATGATATGTATAGCAAATGTACTAATATATGCATGTATTATGTCTAATTCTATGGACCATGTATATTTTTGTATAGTAGATGTGATATGTCACAACATGTACCGAACTACAACATTAAGCTGTCTAGTACTGAACTAGCTAGAGTAGCGGTGTTCATCGGACGTATAAAATCGACCCAATCGAACATAACTGAAAATCCGGTACGTGCCAACTTAAATACCAAAAGAAACATTCGTGTCAGTGTTTGGTAAATTAAAGAATTTTTTAAATTCCGGCATTTTGTATGGTATATGGTATTGATGATGCCCGGTATGTTGTATCTTATCGAATACGAAATATTTTAATATATTTTTATTTTAATTCTTTATGGTTATAACAAATTATAAAATATATTTAGATCGATAATTTTTCTCATTATTTACATATTAGTCTTTATTGAAAGTCTCATTTTATTTTTAGGACTGATTATTGAAATTTGAATATCAAATTGAAGAATTAAATATTTTTTTCTAGATTGTTAAAAATATAAAAGTACATTTTGGGTTCAATCAGTACTGAACCAAAAAAATCAAATTTAATTCGGTAAAAAAATTGTACCGATCTATAGCTTAGTTCGATAAATGGTATAAATTTTGTTACGGTATCAACGAATGAACACCTCTAAATTAAAGTACAATATTGTTTATTGAAATTAAAAGAAGAAATTAATTAACATTTTCCCCGCACCAAACGGAAGATACTCGAAGTTATTCACCTGAAAATCCAACGTACTGTTCTCGAATCTCTCCGGTTCGAAACTCTCCGGTTTGTCCCAGTACTGTGGGTCCCTCCCCATTGACCAGATGTTGACCATGACTCCTTCCTCTCTGCATGCTAGCTCTTGGTATTAATGGGTGTAGCCGGAGAGTTTCTTTCACCACCAGTTTCAGGTATTTAATTTCAGCCCCTGTACATGATCGCTCTCCGCCACCGTCGTTTTCCCCTTTAATGCCTCTCTCTGTACCTTCTCCATAACCCTAGGGTTTCTCATCAGCTCCGCCATTGCCCAGCTGATTGTCGTCGACGATGACTCGGTTCCCGCGGAGAACACGCCCTATATGTATATATACACATACATAAGCAATATATATATATATATACGGCCACCCCTGAAGTACGGTTAAATTACGAAAAACCCTTTTATGTTTGGGTAATTACAACCACCTCCTTCAACTATGAGTTTTCTTACACGTCCACCCTTATGGTGTCAAATTCAACATAATCATCTAGATTCTGAGGAATGTTCTCTAGTTTATACTCGTTTTGTGCAAAAATACAATTTCTGATGCATCACATATTGACAATAAAGACATATTATCTTATGGATCATCTTTTATATAGGGTAAAACGGGTACAAAATGGATAATATTCCACATAATCTAAAACATTCTATTATATTTGCCATCGCAATGGTAAACGCGCAAGAATGTTCATAGTTGATGGGTGGTTGTAATTACGCAAACATAAGAAGTTTTTTGTAATTTGACCATACATCAGGGGTGACCGTAATTTACCCCATATATATGCGCGAAAGAAAAAAAGACTTACAAAGATGACAGCTTTGATATTGTCGTTAGTGATCGGAACCCGGAGTTCGCCGTTCCTCTGCATCTTGATCAGAACATTGACAAAGTCTTCACCTCCGGCGAACGTGTTGCTCTGCTTCAACTTGTGTTTCTCCACCACTACATCGAGGATGGAATCGATTTTCCGGCGCATCCTCACCAGTTTGAATCTATTCCAGCTGAGAATCTGCAGAACCTTGAAAGACGGAAAGAGATCGGCGAGAGCTCAATTCTTCCGGCCAACTCGATGCCCTTCTTCAACAAGTATATCAAAGTTTCCTGATCCTTCAACACATCGCCAAACACCGCCCTGCACGTGATCGAACTCGTCAGCCCGAACACCTTCTCCGTCAAATCGACACTTTCTCCAGCGGTGGAAGATGATTGGATTGATTCGATCATGCGCGAGACCTCCTCCTCCCTAATGAAACCGAACGATTTGACGTTTTTAGCGCTGAGGAGTTCCAATATGCAGATCTTACGCATCTGCCTCCAGTACTCGTTGTACGGGCTAAATGCAATGTCGGTGAAGTCGTACCATATGATCTTAGCAATGTCGGTGAAGTCGTACCATATGATCTTAGCGCAGATGCTTTCGGGCCGGCCCGTGCAGCTGGGGTCCTGGTCCTTAAGCAGCTGCTTGGCAGCGTGCAGCGATGAGATCACCACCGCCGACACTTGACCAAGCTGGAGATGAAGGACGTCGGGACCGTACTTTTTGGCTAGTCGAGAGAGGGTGTCGTACAGCAGCCCTCCGGCTCCGATCAAGTGGTTGAGGTTGCCGATCACCGGCAGCTTCGGCGGGCCAGGTGGCAATTTCTCGTAGTACTTTGGTTTTTTCCATGCCTTGATTACTAGTGAGAAGATGAAAGATGAAAAAAATCACTAAAGTGGTGATGTTGAATAGGATCTTGATATCCATTATAATATTATGGCAAATTCTTAGAACAAATTTTAATATATATTTATAAGGAGAAAACTCTGTATTTATATTAAAAGAACTGACCTAATTAGTAGAGATCAGTAAGTAGATGAGTCCCCACTGCATGCATGAGTTTGCAGCACATGAAAATGAGATCTGCCCATTTCTTATACAAAATCCCACGAATCAGATCGAAATTAGCCACTTATCGGAAAATTCAATTTTTTTTTTTTTTTTGAAGTGGAAAACTAGTTCTAATTTCATTCCGAAAACAAAATGGAAATCAGAATTTCAAGAACGAAACAACTTGTTCTCCAAAATCGATTTTTTTGAATCGGAACCGTCGGGATTCAAAAAAAAAATCTATCTTTTTGTCACCTAAAATTTAATAATATTGGCGTTTAGAGTGTAATATTCGACAAACAATAGGAACTTTCGAAATTATTTCAATCGGATTGAAAATCGGAGTCTCAATAATATTTTGATTCCAATCCAAATTATTTCGAAGAAAATCTGATATTGGAATTTCGAAGCTCCAACTGCAAGCTATTGTACTGAAATCAAAAAAAATTGAGACGGAATCGACGAAAATCAGAAATTTCGTTCCAATTTTCACCACTAATACACTTGATTTTGTAGAAGAAAAAAATTTCGACCCAATTGACAATCAAATTAAATTGAAATATACCTTTGAAATTTGTACAAATTCAAGAAGGCAATTAATTTTATTGGATTATATAAGATACAAATTACGGTGGTGTATCACACGATCAAGATAGGCGCGTGAAGAGAGGCACCAACATAGGTTAGGTGGTTTCGTTCAACCAAAGGGCGTGCATTACGCACCCCTCACTTCTTTTGTTTTTTGTTGATGGAGTGCTAAAACCAATATTACCTTTATTCCCGATAATACCCTTAACCGGATATATGTTATCAATTTTAATATATTCTTTTTTTCTACCCGAATTAATTTTTCCCCACGCAAAAGGAGAAAAATAAATAAAAAATATTATAAATTAAAAAAAAAAGGAAAAAAGAAAAAAAAAAAAAAACCCTAGAACGTAAAGTGAAAATCAAAGCTGTGTTTTGGAGAGAGATCAGAGATCATTACTACCTAATCGCAGTTTCTGACGTCGAAAATCCTCCTTTAATTTGAAGAAAAAGGTTAGTGATTTATCAGTTTTAGGGTTTCATTTTGGTGCTTTGAATTCCTAAATTGATCAATGTTTAGTTTTTTCAATTTGGGGCTTTTGTTAAAAAAATCATCTTCAATACGTTTGGAATCTAATTTCCTGGTTTTTTTGTTTAAATTTTCATTTTTTTGACAATGTTTGTAAACAGTCTTAAAAGTTTCAACATAGCCTTGCATATATATATTTTACTATTTTTTTTCAAACAAATTCTTATAATCTTTGTGATTTATGGGGAATCAACTGATACGTAGTTATTTTTTCCTTATATGAAAACAAGAATTAGAATGTTTGAAGGTGTTGCTATTTTGTTTTGGTATTAACTGTAACAGATTGTTTTTGTACTAACCATGGCCATTAACTAATTAGTTTCAGCACAGATTTAAATTTTGGAGTTTTTTTATTGTACGTTTTTCCAGTTATCAATTGTTTTTTTTTTTTCTCTTAAAAATCTTACAAAAAATTGATTAATATTGTTTTATCTATGAATTTTTAGAGTTTTAGTATTTCGTGATGATAACTTCCTTTCGATCTGGATATTTAATTTCTGTACATTTTGAAGATCCAGATTTTGCTGTTCATTTTTCTGTTTGATCCTGAAAATTATATGTGTCTAATACCTTTGTGTGTTCTCTTTGCTATCGCAGGCTTTGGTATTTTGCCGAACAAGATTTCTGACAATGAGATTGAAGAAAAGGGACAAGGTGGAAGTTATGAACAGTAAAGATGAGCCAGTTTCGTGGCATGTCGCTGAAATACTGTCTGGTAATGGCCATACTTATCGTGTGCGGTATGATTCTTATCCAGATATGGCAAGTGAAGAAATAGTTGAGACTGTTTCAAGAAAGTCTGTTAGACCAGTCCCGACTCTGGTGAAAGGTGTAGAGAATCGTATTGTCGGAGACATTGTGGAGGTGTTTTACGAATACGCGTGGAGGGTTGCTACTATCTTGAGGATTATCGATGGCAAAATAGAAATTAGAAACAAGATTCATCAGAACCGATATTTGGTACGTTTACATGGGAGCTCACGGGCATTAATTGTTGATGAATCGATCGTCAGGACAAGACAAACCTGGCATAATGACAAATGGATTATGATTGGCAAGGTAGTTTTCTTTTCGCTGCTTTAAATTGATTTGAGGTTGACGGTTTATGTCTATTTGTTGACATTAGCAGGGAATTTCTTATAACGGTGTTTTGGCTCTTCTTAGGCTTATATTATTTTTTCCTCGACGGCATGATTTTCCGTCTCATCTAAATGTTCGTTGTTAACATGTTTGACTGAAGTATTTTTTATCTTCCACCAATTCTCCTGGTTTTCTCTTATAGGGATCGTCTAGAGTCACCTGCAGCATGCAGCTGCAGTGCCGTCTGGATTAATATCTTTAGCCGTTTTTTTTCCCCC